AGAAGAAGGAGGAGGAGGAGAATAATAATAACAATAATAATAATAATAATAATTATTATTATTACACAGCACAATCAAGTAGGATTCATCCCAGGTATAAAAGACTGGTTCAGGGGCTGGGGTTGTGGCTCAGCAGAGTGCTTGCCTAACACATGCAAGGCCCTGGGTTCGATCCTCAGCACCACATATATAAATAAATAAATAAGTAAAAGTATAAATAAAGGTATTATGTTCAACTACAACTAAAAAATAAATAAATAAAAAAAGACTGGTTCAAAGTTTTAAAATCAATTCATTGCATCAACAGGGTAAAGAAAAAAATCACATGGTCATATGAATGGGTACAGAAAGATCATTTGATGAAGCCCAAAACCAATTTATGACAAAAACTCTCACCAAACTGGAAAGTGGAGAACTTCCTCCAATTGCAGAACTTCCTTAAATTAACAAAGGACATTTACCAAAAAAGCTAACACCTAGCATCTTCCTTAATGGTGAGGAAATAGATGATTTCCCACTAAAATCAGGATTAAGGCAAAATGTCCCTCTCACCTCTCCTTTTCAACATCATTCTTGAGGTCCTGACACTAGGAGACCAAAAAAGGAAATAAAAGGTACTGACCAGGAAGTAAGAAGTGAAACTGCTTTTGCTCACAGCAGGCCATGACATGGTTATCTATGTACAAAATCTAAAAGGATCCACAAGAAATCTTTCTAAAACAGGCAATGATTGCAAGGTGACAGGGTTCAAAGTTCATATAAAAATGTTAATCTCTTTTCTGAACACTGGCAATAAACAAGTAAAGTTTTAAACTAAAAACAGAATACTATTTATATTAGCACCACCAAAAATAAAATACCTACTTATACATCTAACAAAATATGTACAGGATCTACATAAAAACTGTAAAACTCAGATGAAAGAAATCCAGAACTAAATAAATGGAGAGATAGTCCATGTTCATGAACAGGAAAATTTAATGTTGTCAGGACATCAGTTTTTCCAATTTCATGTACAGATTCAAAGCAATTCCAATGAAAATCTTTATATTCTACAGTGTATATCAACAAAATGGCTCTGAGATTTCCATGGAGAGGGAATAGATCCAGAACAGCTTCCGCAATGTGATGAAGAACAAAACCAGAGAGCTGGCACTCCCAGGCTGAAGACTTTCCATAAATAGACAATAGCCAAGATAGAGTGGCACTGGTGGATGAGTAGGCACCCAGACTCCTGGAACAGAATGGAGAGCCCAGAATGGACCCAATAACCATGGCCAACTATCTTTGATAAAAGAGCAAAGGCAATACAATGGCAGAAAGAGAGTCTTTCCATACTTGGTCCTGGAACAACTGGACATGCCCATGTGAAAGAAGGAAAGAAAAAAAAAATCTAGATACAGACCTTACGCCTTTTACAAGAAATCAACACAAAACAGATCACAGACCTACACGCAAAACTATAAAATCTTAGTAAATAACATAGGGGAAAAAATCTAGATGGCACAGTGAGCTAGACATTATTATCCCTACTCTGCAAAGGAGAAAATACAACAGTCTCGGGCTCTACTCAAGGTCTCACTGCCAGAGAAAGGCAGAGCCTGTCTGGCTCCAAACCCGGTGTACTCTCCACCACGTGGTGATGAGGGCGTCCAGGGAGAGGAGGCCTGGTTTCTCTAGGCAGGAGGGCGAGGCCAGAGAGATGCACTGAAACTCCGTGTGGATCTGGGGAAAGGCAGGGTGAAATGACGTAGGTCTCGCTGGACAAACAGGGAACGTGCAAACCCATGGATGTGCACTCTTTAAAAATGGAAACTGACCTCTAACAGAGGCACAGGGGAGAACACGCCTCCGGATATGGTGATCCCTCCTCATGTGTCCTCATGGCGAAAGGTGGCCATTCAAGGGTGGCTTCTGAGGAGCAGAGTGCCGAACAGAAGTAGCGTGCCCAACTCTGAACTAGATACCTCCGAGAACCTGTGTGCATTTGTATCAGTCTCTGTGCTTCCTCGACTAGTTCAAACTTAAAATAAAATTCTTCTTCTGATCCATAAGTAACCATGATCATTGTAAAAAAAAAAAAAAACCACTTTGTAAACTAATCAAGCGATGCAAATACAGCATAAAATGAAAGTAAAACTGAAGTGCCTACATTTTAGTGCTGTCCCACGGCACCAGTCCTGCTCCATGCATGTGCCATCTCATGTCAGTTACCGTCCGTGTGGCCTTTGCAAGCACACCACTCCCTACAGCCCTGGTTTCCTTTCCTCCTCTTTGTCTCCTTTCAGACTCCTGCTGCATGCAATCCGTGTGACAACCTCCAGTGTCTTTGCACACCTTTGTACCTGTGCACACACTTAGAGATGCATGAGTGTGCACGGGTGGAGGCTTTGGAGGGAGATGATCACGTGCTCATGTTTTCTCCCTCATCAATGCCTCGCAGAAATCCCAGCCTGACAGCCCCCAGGATCTGATGAATGAACTCCAGGAGCTGCATGCGACTCCGTGATGGGCAAGTGCCACCAATCTTTCTGCCACCTTTCACTAGTGAAGGTTCCTCACATTTTTAATTTCATTTAATTTTATGCCACAATAAACATCCTTGTACACATGTCCTTACTTATTCTGAGACCCTGAAATGAGGGCATCGAGTTCTCTTTCTTGGTAGGAATTTGAGCAGCCACAGAGCAGGTCATCTGCATCAGTCAATGGTTTACACACAGACAGCCATTCTTTCCCCATGAAAGGTGGTGCGGGATTTCTCTTAGTACTTGGGCTCTGGGGCAGAATCTCAAATTAAATAAATTAGTTACATAAAAGTTACATATATTTACTATCAATCACTTGATGATTTCAATGCACTTAATGCATTTGTCCTTTAAATAAATATGGAATTATTCAGGGGAAAAATGACAGTCTCACTTAATACTTGTATATTTGTCCCAGGAACAATTTCTCAATAAGGAGCTCAGTGTTACCATATCCTTGGGAGAGTAGCTCAAGAAGACTGAAATCTCCTTGTAGCAGAATAAGAGAAGTATTAGAAATAAAGCTTGGGCTGAAGGTTTGCTCAGGAGGGGCAGAGTTTTGCTCAGGAGGGGCAGAGTTTGTGCAACTATCTGGCAGGCTGTCTGGCCACAGCAGCTCCACGACATCGTTCTGAAGGTTAGCTGGAGACCTCCTAAGTGGCCTCTGCCTCCGATTGTTAGAAGCCAGCATATTTGCAGAGTGACAGTGAGAAACGAGAAGGACCCTCCTCCTCCTGTTGGAGCATGGAGGGATCTGCTGGACTCCCGTCCACATTGAGGTGGTTGAAGGGGCCCCATTCCCTTCCTGTCCTCCAGGAAGGACTCTGAAGAAGGAAGCCACACCACTGCAGCCTCCTCTACCTCTGCCAGCGTCACCTCACCGACGCCTTCTCTGACCTGGTATCTGATGCTGTTTCTCCAGTCACCTTCCGGCACTCTGCTGGGTTCCTCCCAAATCTCCTCTTGGGTCTCCTCCTTCTCAAGATTCTGGGTGCAGCCCAGAGCCTGGGTCGAGCTCCCCAGAGGACACCCAGAGGCATGCTAGTCAGAGGCAGAGCATCGTGAAAAGGTGACGCACAACCTTCTCCTGAACCACAACATGGGCAATTGGGAGACCCCAGCAACGGCAGTGAGGGTCCAGGGGTCAGTGATGTCGGAGGATAAGTCAGAAGGTATTTCTAGGCCCATTTGGCTCACAGCAGCAGGTGGGAAGGGAGGGGCAATGAGGCTTGGAGAAGGAAATGTACCACTGAGGAGAAAACCAAAGGGCTCCTGCCTCCCACCCTGGGAGCCCCACCCTGGGAGCTCCACTCTGGGAGCCTGGAGAGAACAAGGGTCCTCAGCCCCAGTGTCCCACTGTTGGGGGCCTCTGACTATCCTGGGGACACCTGACCTATGTCCCTGGGGATGTGTCCTAAGAGAGTCTTTGGTTCACTGCCAACCTCTTCCTGTGGAGGAGGAGCACACACTCTGTCCCCATCAGCTTCCTTGGAAGCACGGCATTCACTGTTGTGGCATTGGTCCTGAGAGAGGGGCCTCCTCAGATGAGTATCCAGAGCAGAGAGCGTGACACAGATGCCCAAGGGCAAGGAGCCCAGTGTCTGACTGGCACGTCACCTTGGCCTTTCCCCTTCTATCAGTTCACCTTGAAAGCTTCTCCATGTTGACCAGCCAGGGCCCCAGTCCCCCTGCTCTGCCCCTTCAGAGTCTGCGTAACCCCAGCTCCATGTTTACTCATCAGTCAAACAACTTCAAACACCACACACAGCGGCATTACACCCAGTTCTGGGGATGCAGGAAGGAAGGAGGAAGGGGTGGATCCTGCCTTGGGTCCAGCCTGTGACAGCCATAAGCACCCCTCTCTCTCCCTCTTCCTTTCCTATTACCTGGATGGGAGGTGTTGCCATTCCCCAGCTACCGGCTCGCCAGGGGTCTTCCTGGACGGCTCCCTCTCTTACCATCCACTGATTCCCTGGAACTACACTTTCTAAACTCCATGGAGCCCGCCACCTTCTCCATTCCACTGGTGCTCATTTCAGGTCCATTGTGATCTCTTACTGCAACAACCCCTGAACGTGCCTTCGTTTCCAGCCTGTTCCTCCAGCAGATTATTAACCACATGAGCCAGAGGGATCTTTCAGATACAGTTCCACTTGTTTCCCCCTGCTTAGACTCCTCAAATGGATTTCTGCACTCTACTCAAACTCCTAAGAAGACTTCACAATCTGGTCTTTGTCTACTTTTCTAGCCTTATTGATCTTTCATCCATGGGCACATCACCCACCATCCATCCATCCATCCATCCATCCATCCATCCATCCATGCCAAGATCCCTCCACCTGGCCATCCAGCCCCAACTAACTCATCCGAATGCCGAGTACCTCCCAGAGCTCCTGCCCATCAGCAGCTTCGTGATACGCTGCTTTGGTCTTCCTCTTAATTCCCAGTCCCACTTCACACCCCAGTTCTCACCTCCTGTTCTGCTGTCTGGACCTCCCTGGGCTCTCTGTGTCCTTGCAGCACTGGGCCCCAGTTTTCTGCTGCCCCACCCTGGCCTGAGCTCCAAGCTCGGCCGCTGGTTGCCATGCCTCCCTGACAGACGCAGCTCCCACTGTGGTGCGACAGCCCCGTGCTTCTTCTTGACTTTCCAGCCCCTGTACCAATGGGAAATACTTCCTCCTTCTTCCCCCAGAGCCTATAGCTAGGTCAGCACACGTGTCCCACAAGGAATATACCCGCCCAACACTGCCCACTCTTGTGGGTGCATCCTGCTCTGGTGTGGCCACTGCAGCTGACCGTCCAGCTTCAGAGGCACAGGCTTCCCTACCTCTGTTGGGAGACTGGCAAATGGGAGGACTGGGAGGTCTGGAACTAAGTCAAGGAAGGGCAGACAAAACGCCCCTGGCAGGTGCTGCCCAGCTACACATGAAGGGGTCTCCAATTTCATCTGCTCCAGAGGATGGACTCAGAGGCAGCGAGGCTGCTCTGGAGGCCTCTGGCCCAGGCCAGGCAGCAGGACTTCCTGGGGCTGTGGTGGGTGGGACCTCACAGTGACTGCCCCATTGTCTCACTGTGGGAGGTGGCTTCACTGGGCTTCCTCTAAACAGGACTCTGAGGCAGGCCAGGAGATCTGAGCAGCCTGCTCCCAACCACCTCCCCTGTGGGAACAGGCAGGAAAGTCCCAAGATGCATGGACACAAATGTCCAGGAATCCATGGGGCCACAGAGCACGCCCAAAGCCTCCAGGCTAGTGGGAAGGAGCTCTGAGAGACGACCAGCCATGCCCTCCTGATTCACAGCTCACAGGGAGGAAGGGCTGGCAGTAGGCACATTTGGGGGTTTCTTACAGGTAGCTAAGGGAAACACTGAATTCTCTGACACAGTCTGGAAGTTTGGTGATGAACACAGTCTCTCCAGTAGCAGAAAGAGCACACACTGGTGAGCAGCTCTGCTCTGAACCACGTGCTTAGGAATGATCTCCTTAAATGCCCTCTCTGGAGTTGGAAGAGCCTGATTGTTCCCATTAGACAGGATGTGCCGCTGCCTGGTGGTTAGGAAGAGGATACAATCATGGAAAAACAGTCGAGGTCTAGGCCACAGCGTCACTCAGGTAGCCCCGCCCCCGCAACGCAGACTGCTTCTGAGAAGAAGGAAGGAAGCGCTGCACGTGCCCAGCACAGAGGAGGCTGGATGTTGCGCCAGGGGGGCTGTGCCCACGACAGCCCGGCCCCCAGACCAGGGGTGCAGCTTCCAGTTCCTGCTCAGGTGGGATCCTCTAAAGCTGTGGTGACAGTCCCATCACATAAAATGTACCATTTTCTCCCTTTGGAATGTGCAGTTTGGTGGCAGCAAGGGCACCCAGGTCACTTCGCAGCTATCACCACCCTCCAACTCTGGCTCCTTTTCTCCTCTCACCCGAGCCTCCATCCCCAGGCAACCCAAACGGCCCTTCCCCCCGCCTCCACCCTGCCTCATGGGGCCTTGCAGGGGTGGGTCACACCGTCCTTGCATGCCTGGCTCATTTCCCTCTGCATGACGCCTTCCAGGGCGGTCCTTGTTGGAGCATGTGATAGGATTTCCTGCTTTTTCATGACTGCCTCGTATTCACTGTCTGCCTCATCCAGCAGGTTGGTCTGTCGCGCCTCTGTAGATGGACATAATTTTGGTTTTGACTCTAAAGGCAAAGGATCAACCTACATGCTCACACATGCATAGGTTTGTAGTTAATTTTCTTTTAAACCAAGGATGTCATCTAATTTTAAGAAAAACTTGTTTTTAAAAGAATTCATTTTAGACAGGCATCAGCACGGCATCTGAAGTCCTGACCTCCTCATTTCCTCAATGTTTATCTCCCCTGATGATTTGCACGGGCTCCATCTGCTAACAGATGGGACATGATTCCTTTTGCTTAAAATATCTTCCTGGACTCCCGGCTGTCTTTGCACTTCTCCTGCTCTTCCCTTCTGACACGTGACCTGCTTTGGGGCAGGCGAGGGCATGCAAAACACCCTTGGGTGGACTGTGGGAGCCTTGGCCTGCATTTCAAGAGATGCTCACCTATTTATTCCCAGGGAGATGTTCATGCAGATAAGCATCAATGTTTTCCTGTTTTCTTTGCCTTTTCCCCACTGGTGACAGCTGGCCTGTGCTAATGAGACTGGGATGTGTCCCCATTCTTGCCTGTGGCTCTGCACTTGGCCCAGAGGAGGGCTAGACAGCCCAGCCCTTACCTGCTCCCCACGCTGCATGAGGGGAGCAAGAAGCATCAAGGAAAATCCAAATTCAGAGCAGGGTTCTTCGAAAGATAGGTGAGTAGGGTGGCTGGCCAGGAGGGTCAGGACAGTGGCCAAGGTCCTGGGCACCACAGGCAGCTTGTCTCCACTCCCCACGCTGCTTCCCGTGCCTCCCCCTCCCCCCTCTCCGCTGCTGTCCTGGCCCCTCCCTGCTGTCTCCACCTGCCTGAGCTGCTTCTTTCTGCTCCTCTGTGTCCACCTGTCCCCACCTGCTCTCCTTTCAGGTTCCATCCAGGCTCAATTTAAGGGTCTCTGGCCTTGAAGCCCTTCTCACATCCTTGATGTGGAATTCCTGGCCACATGGAATTCCTCATCTCCTGGGGCCACTCTGAGTCTTCATTCATCAAAGCTACTTCCCCGGCAGGGCTAGAATCCCCAAGAAGGAAGGGACGTATTCTAGCCAGACCCCTGAACAGGGGTGGAGGGATCTTTACTTGACTGAGGCCGGAAGATGCCTGTGTGATAGCTGCTGACGACAGCAAGGGCCTCTGGCGGGTGCACTCAGGAACAGCGGATTCCAGAGTGAGAGTCCTGTTGGAAAAGCCCCACACTGGGTTCCCCTCCCCAGGCTGGAGCTGACAGGCTCTGGATGTCTGCTGCGGAAGAACAGGAAGCATTTAAAATAAAGAACGACAAAAAAATAAAGGATCCTGAGATGAATTCTTTAATTGACGGCATGATTCCCTTTTATTAGGAAAAAGTTCCAAAGCCATATTTTACTGAGAAAGCTATAACATGAAACACAAAAGAATGGTTTCACTTGCTGGAACATCTGGAAAAGCACTTCACTGGAATGTTATGCTATTTAAATATAATGAATGATGGGGATTAGCTCATAGCCTTTGTTCAGAGAGGCATTCATAAAACTTTGCTCATAGGAAGAGAAATTTCTCTGTAGCAGCCAACAATCCAGGGTTCCTCGAGTTCTTCAGGGAAGATCTGATCACACAACATTCTACTCCACCCCAATATGAGCACCCTGCGATTCCCAGGGTCCAGACGGGGTTGAGGGGAGAGATGGGGGTCTCCTAGCCTTCCCTGAAGATGACTAGACCAGCTTCTATTTTACCAACTCCAGTTACAGTAGCACTGATACTAAATCAATTTACATAATTTCTACTTGTAGCAAAAAAACCCCAGTAACATCCATATGTTATACCTTCAGCAAGCTATAAAAAAGCAATATTAATTCTAAAAATATTTTGCACTAAAGAAAATATGAACTTATTTTTTTGAATGTCTCTCTACCAACATAGAGAGTCATGGCCTATCTATGCTCCAGGATCCAGAACTAAAAGTGTTTTAGCTAAATGACCCTTCTTCCCAGCTCCCGTGCTGGGGGGCTGCTCTGTTGGCCCCTCACAACCACTCTCTCATTCCGTGATCTTTCTAGAGTCTCAGTTCCCTTCATGGAGGAGACAGAGGCAGGGTTCCCAGCACAGAAGCAGCTTCCCGCGTGGCCGGCCATGGCAGACCCTCAAAGCATCTAGGTCTTCTGACCTCTAAAAGCAGTGAGAGACCCAACCAGGCTGCCACTCCAGAAAAGAGGGGGGTGACAACGTTTCCTTTTTACTTCTAAAAATGTGAAAAGTAGTTATCTACTTGAATACTATTCTTATATTTGGTTTTTGGAATTGTTTTTTTTTTTTTTTTTTTTGGTACCAGGGGTTGAACCCAGGGGTGCTTTACCACTGAGCTCCATCCCAACCCTTTTTATTTATATTTATTCAGTCATTTTTTGAGGCAGGATCTTGCTAAGTTGCTTAGGGTCTTGCCAAGTTGCTAAGGCTGGCCAACTTGTGATCCTCCTGCCTCAGCCTCCTGGCTTGCTTGGATTACAGCCACTGTGCCCAGCTCTGATATCTTTATTAATGTGCCTGAATCAGAGATCATGGAGTTCACACACACACACACACACACACACACACACCTTACGAGTAGCTTATTTAAGAAACAAAGCTTAAGCAAGGAAGACTTTCTCTTCCTCTACAGAGATAGGAATTCTTCATGGGCCCAAATCGGCCCTGGGGCCTCTGTTTCCTCATCTGCCCATTGCCCTCCCTGGCCTGGGCATGGCCAGGACCTCCTCTCATCTTACAGAACCCATTCTCATTCTCCATTCCACTCATGGCCTAGCCGGGGCGAGCGTGCAGTTGCCAATCACCTAATTTCCCACACTTCCGATACAAGTGAGATGTGCAGGGGCTGGGGAGGAATTCCAATCAGATGATTCAGGAGCAGATGCCTTTCTTTCTCTTCTGGGAGGGGTGGGGGTTCTTCAGAAGGCCTTCCCACGTGACCAAGTACAAGTTAAGTCACACACTTGACTCTGATCCTTTCCTGGGAATGATGCGGCCAGGACCCTACAGGTGCACCTTCCTTCTGCCCCCAGCTCCCCGCCCAGGCACTTTCAGAGCTGCCTATGGAGCAAGGACAGATCGGCGGGTGTGAGCCTCAGCTCCCAGTACCCACGGTGATGGGCAGCCCAGGCCAAGAACATGAATTATGTCTTTTAAAGAACACCACCAATAATCACCGGGTCATCATCCAACCAAACTGGAATTAGAGGCCCTCAGCTCATTACCAGCAAGAACAGCCAGTAGACTCATCCCTCCAAACCTTCCGTGGGCCAGGACACGTGGTACAGGGCCACGGTGGACACAGGGCCAGGGTTTCAGAGCCAGCTCTTCAGGAGGCTTGCTAGCATTGGAACAACTATGGACACCACTCAGCCCCCTGTCCTTCTGTAAAGTGGGGCTAGACCTCTCTGTGAGTTCCTGCAAGGGTGACGTCAGGAGGTGACAGAAGTCCTCACAGATACTAGAACAATTCTCAACCAGGAGAGTCCAGGATGCCGTCCCCCACCCACTTCCAAAGACCTCTTAGCAGTAGGTTGTTACTGCCAGAGAGAAGGTATTGAGGCCCTGGGGACTCGGTCAGAAAGGAAGGTGAGGGCTCCTGATCCAGGCAAGCCAGACATCTACACTGCCAACTGTTCACTAGCTACCACAGACACCTGTAAACAGCTCAAATCATGTCAAGTTTCAAACTGCTTCTGTTTCAAACAACCTCCAAATCTACGCCCATTTAGATGGTTTTGTCAAGGGCTTGAGATTGCCTCTGCCATGCCATGGGGAGGGAGCTTCACAGCTTGTGTTTTTGTGGTTTTTCAAAGTATAGACAGAGCCAGGCATGGTGGTGCATGCCTGTAATCCCAGTAACTCCAGAGATGAGATAGGAGGGTCGCATGTTCAAGGCCAGCCTCAGCAACTTAATGAGACCCTAATCTATTTAGTGAGACCATGCCTCAAAATAA